CACCCTGCCATCAGCTCCCCGGGGGCCCGGGGACAAAGGGACAGGGACACCCGGGCCCGACTGCGTGGTGCCCCCGGGAAGCTCAGGGCGGCGACATCCCTGGGCGGGCACCCAGCCCAGGCGCTGGGAGCTGGCAGTGAGGGAAGGCGCATCTCTGGAAAACCCGGCTCTTCTAGCAAGAGATCTGACGCGCCTGGGCTTCCCCAGGTGGGCCCAAGAGGTGCAGGTGGCCCTGGGCCCTGGTGCTGGGCAGAGACTGCCAGGCTGGCTGGGGCTGGGCTGGACATGCGTGACAGCTGCTGCCCGGGGCGCCGGGCTCCCCACCGCGTGGCGCCCCCGCATCCCACCCAGCCGTGTGGGCACAGGGCATCCTCTGCCCCTCTGGCCACTCAGTGGCAAAGGCCAGCAGCAGGGTGGAACCGGCCACCTGCTCTGCAGCTGGCATTTCCAGGAGAGTTGGGCAGAAGGCTGGATTCCAAACTTCCCTTCTCCTCGGGGGCACCAGACGCCCGGGGGGAGCCGCGTCCTGGAGCAGAGCCCCGAAGACGCTGCCAGCCAGGGCCCGTGCCTGTCCTCTGTGGGGCGGCGCTCCGTACCTTGGCACAGCTGCATGGCCTGCTGGCCCTCAGGCTCTGCGGGGCGGGGGGGCAGGGGGCCCCGGGCGGGGCTTCCAGCAGCTCCTGCGGGAGAAGGGGCGTCAGCGGGCGGGCGGCCGCGGGTCACCGGGAGCGGACAAGGAGCCCTGGGCAGGGCGCGGCCTCCCCCGAGGGCGGCCGTCGGGCCAGCCCCATCACCGGCTGTGGGAGGGCACAGACAGGCAGGACGAAGGAGGGGGCAGCGCCGCGAGCGGAGAGCCCAAGGAAAGGGCCAAGGGCAGGGGCGGAGTCGCAGCGGGCGCGGGCTTCCCGCCTGCTCGGCAGACCTGCTCGGCAGAGCTTCGTTTATACGTCCCGGGCACGCGGGGGACGTCGGCAGAGGAACTGGCTGAGAGGTCGCGCTCGTCTTTTTTCTAAGAACAGTTTTGGGGCCCTATCGCCCTCAGCAGAGATGATGAGATCACTCTTAAAATCAATCTACTAAAGTTAAAACAGGTATGTAAATTCAGAAAATTTAAGACTGAAGTTGCCGTATTTACCGCGGCGATGAATAGCTAAAATAAAGCCCCTCAAACCCTAATTCTACGTGATGACCCTTGTTCTCATCGAGACATCCGGAGGGTAACGTGAGGGCCAGGATGGAGAAATTTCCTTGTCAATCAATCACAAAAAGAGATCCAGGAAAAGTTCTTTAAAAACTGGCTCGGCGGCGTGAGTGAGGTCCCGCTGTGAAGCCTGAACACCGACCGAGGCTTACGAGGGTGCAGCGTGCTGAGCGCCGGGCTCAGGGCTGCCCCTCGCGCCAGCGCCGGCGCTGCCGTTCGCGTCCACCAGCCAGCAGCGCTGCGGTCCCTTCTGACCTCAGGGGAAGGCCCGCCGGGCAGTGGCCGCTCGCCTGGCCAGCAGCCTCTCGCGGCGGGGCAGTCCAGGTGCTCAGACTACCTTGACGTTCACAGCAAAGGGAGGTCGTGACGCACGTTAGCGTGGAAATCCTGGTTTTCCAGAGCACTAGCCCTCCATCCGGGCGCCGGAGTGGCACAGCTTGTCAGGCGCCACCCGCCTCAAGGACAGGCAGCTGGGCCCCGGGAGAACTCGGGGCTCGGAGGACGCCAGCGTCACGGAGGCGCAGCCCGGGGGGTGTGGGGCGATGTCAGGGCAGGGGGTGGCCCCCTCAGGATCGGCCCGACCCCACGGCCAGGGCAGGGGAGGCCCGTCCTGAGCACCTGGGGCAGGTGAGCGGAAGCCCTAGAAACCAGCGCTGCCCGTGAAGCCCACCTACCCACCTAATGGCTCCTGGACCCCCGGGGAGAGTGGGGGACGCGGCGGCCTGACAGGTGGCC